GTTTCTTGTCTCTATTGGAGAAGATGGAACGGCGATTATACAGATATTCTAGATATCATTTGCAGAACAGACCAAAGTTTATTATGCCAAGCTCTGAATAACTAGGATAGGGAAACTAATTGTTTTAGTTCACGGTACTCTTAAATTAATCCAGCAATGCAGTAGGGTAGTTCTGGTGTGTACCAAAGGTCATGATTATTATGTGTCAGTTGAAATTTGTGTTGAGATTTTATTGTTGCATATTACTCGTTAAAAACAACTGTAGCATATCAGTCTTCACTCAGGCGTTTGTTAAACGCATGGCCAGAGATGTTGCCGCCTCTTTGCATGCAACAGTGTGATTTATTGGGTGTCTCCCTCCAGCAACGGTGACCTGTCTGATGGAAGTCTGTATTGGAGATAAAAAGTGCTTACTCACGTTAGATTGGAGTAGCTGGTTATCTCTGAAATCTATTATAAAGTAATAATGGTAGATGTCAAGCTGTGAAGGAAAGCTTAATAAATATCTAGGGGCAGTTGTTTTAGTGTTTCAACTTTTGTGGATAAGGTTATGAAACTAAACCGAGTCAATTGGTTATGAACAGGATTCCTTTAACCTCTTTGATAGATGAGGAAAAATTTGCATTAGGAAAATACATGGGGATTTTACTGTGCCAGGTATAATTAGAGATGTAACTAAATCTGGAGAATTGTTACTGTTGACAGAGATAGTTCTGTGAGGAAAGGTAAGGTAGGGCAGAATGCGCAGGTACCATAGCTTAGTTAATTAACTTGTCAGATCTTTATTGTAATTGGCTTTAATTTATTCAGGTTTAAAAAATGACAATGTTTTATCTTAATATAAAACTTTACTTTTTAATGTTCCTAGGTAAATATAATTCGAATAAAGTTGTAAAACTGAGATTTATATGTAGCCTTATGTAAAGGAATAAAATAGATAATTTAACAAAAACTTATTAAGTATTGAAGTAATTGTCCAATATTTCACACTTTGTCTTTCTGCAGGGACTCTACAAGAGTATGCTCTCAGTATCGCATCTGCAGAGGAGAGAGAAGCTATTCCCATTTTTCCTCTTCTGACTTGTACTCCAGTCCTGGGTTGGAAGACTTCCTTTCTGTGGGTGACACTTCTGGAGCAGAGGAGGATACAGACTCGTTTATTTTATATGGAACTTTGCGAGGAAGTGTTGTTGGATTACGATACTACACAGGGATTGTAAGTGCATGGTAAACTATACAGCAGCAGAAAAGGTTCTTGTCAGCTTCAGAAAAAATATCTTAATTAAGCTGCAAAAATTGACAGAACTCTTGACCAAGTATAATTTTGAAAGATTTTTTTTTTCCCCTGACTTGGTGTATTTAACGTTCATTACAGGAAATACTAAATCTAAAATTTAATTCAGAATTTAGTTAAAGTAGCAAGCTTTCAAGACTGATTTGGTTATTTGGTAGCTCTGCTTATCCATATAAGGCAAATAAAAGTGACTGAAACCAAGAAATTAGATTTGAACTGTATTTGAACTGTTTACATGGACAAAAAGGGATGTCTGTTTCTTTACAAAATATGTTAGCAGTTGAAGGTTGTTCTTGCTGTCAGAAGTTTCAAAAGTATTCCTGAGATCTATCAGGTATGTAATGCTTTTTTGGTATTTTGAGTAGTCACTGGGTTGTTAGACTGACCAAACAGAACACTCTACCAAATAAATCTGTAAGCTTCATGATATTTAAGTAAAAGTATACTAGATATTTCTGCAAATAATTTGCAACTAAATGTATTCTGGTGTGTGTTTGTTTGCTTTGCTTTGTTAGGTTAATAACAATGAAATGGTTGCACTTCAGAGGGAGCCTAATAATCCTTATGATAAAAATGCAGTAAAAGTAAATAATGTGAATGGAGACCAAGTAGGCCATATAAAAAAAGAACTAGCAGCAGCATTGGCAGGCATTATGGACAATAAACTAGCATTAATTGAAGGGTAAGTGTGAAGATTGTGGTTTTGGTTCCATGAATATAAATAATTGAAATGTTTTTGTTGCTACACTAGCAAGTTCTGAAAACTATAAGTGTGCTCTTTTGACAGAAATGAGATTTCTTGATAATATGATTAAAGCTTCGTGTTTTCAGACTCCTTATTCTTCTATTTAACTGTTTGCATACAGCTCATTCTTTCCCATATATGATAAAATGTAGAGAGAGTAGAGAGAGTAGTGAGAGCAAATTCCTTAAAGATTGCAGTGGAACTTTAGAATTAACTGCATGTGGTGGTTTGTATAAAAGATTTATGCGGTATGAATACTAACACCTATCTGGAACAGTCTGTGTTTTGATGAAAATAAGCACTTTGGAGTACCTGTTGCTGAAGAAAGAACAAGGTTTGCTGTAAAAAAATGAAACAAAAATTATTGCTGTGGCTTTTTTTTATTCTGCCTTTTTTTTTTTTTTAGAGTTGTCCCTTATGGAGCGAAAAATACCTTTACCATGCCTTTGCAAATGAGCTTTTGGGGGAGAGAAGAAAACAAGGAAGTAGTGCTAGATCAGCTAAAAAGTCATGGATTTAAATTGGCTCCTCCTCCAAAAGGTGAGTCTTGCAGTTTGGGGCTTTTTTCTGTATAAAAATATTCAGGTTGAACTTGCCACTGCTTGAAAGAAATGTTTAAGGGGTTAATCCTCATCATAGTCTTGCCATTCACAGAATTATCTTTTAACTTAGTTGGGGAATAATGCAGAGCCCACAGCTATTATTTTAAACCTCATAGGAAGTATACTTATGTGTCCTGTGTTTTATGTTACCTGCCAGCACTTGGAGAGGCATTTGAAGCAACCTGTTTCTGAGGTGCTATTGCTTGATTTCATAAGATCCTTAAAAACCCATAATGATTCCCTGCATTTCTCCAGATGTGATTTTTGGTTTGTTGTTTTTTTTTTTTTTTTTTTTTGGTAAGAAACAGGTTAGACCTTTTTGTAGGGTAAGGGTTTCAGGAACAGCAGTGCTGTTTTTTAGCAGAGTGCTAGGATGCATATCCTAGTAGTGAGGTGAGATGTCTCTGAACAAATAAGCTTTGCTTACCAGAGCCAACGCTTTGCAGAGCCAGCCTTGCACAAAAAGCACCTGTGCTGCTGGCTTTGTTGAGGCAGTGGTAGTTGGGAGTAAGGATCCATGCAGAAATAACTACTGGGTGAGGGATAGATCTGTTTTACATATAGCAGGATTTCAGTTTTTATGTTATAGGTGTGCATAGTTAGCAGAAAAATACTTCAGAGTAAAAAAGCCTTTTTCCTTACCGGTCATCATACTGTTACCAAGTCAGATTTTCCATAACACAATATTTAAGGAACATGGTTGCCATCTCGAAGGATCCCACCCAGCCTATGAGTCTTAAACTTCGTGAAAAGCCTTTGTAGCCTATCGCAAGTAAAGGATAAATTTAGGCTAAAAAACAAATGGTGAAAGATACTGTCTTACAACCCAGTCTCATCCACGTTATTACTCATGAACCGGTGAAAGCTAAGATTGGGAAGTCATTGTACTGTTGTGTTTCAAAATGCTATTTTTCTAATGGCAAGTAGGTTCAGAATGTGGTTTTGGATCACAGTGGATTTCTGAGAGAGCTGGTCCAAGTTACAGCGCTCCAGTTCATGCTGCTGTGCAGTTGACAGCTGAACAGGTTTGCATTTCATACTTAAAACATCTGGAAGTTGGAATTTGGGGCCTTTAAGTTTTCATTAATAAAACCGTGCTTGTGAAGTGGAAGTCTGTCAATGTTGTTTGTGTGGTTTGGTGGTGTTTTTTTTTTTTTTTATGAACCACAGGTTTGCTTTGAAGTAAGTTTGAAATTCTGAACTTTTTCACTTTTATACTATAAGCAGACACTTTAGCTGTAACAATCTTTACTCCATGTAACTTTGGGAGTTTTTGGTTGTTTAGTAACTTACTTACAGTGTTGGGGTGGTATGTTTTCTTTTCTCTCTCCTAATGCTTTACCCCAGATAGCAAGTGTTAAGTTGTCAAATGAAAATAAAATCAGACTTCCAGACTTCATCTTCTGATTTGGCACAGAGAAGTACACGAAGGGTTGGGTAGTGGCTTGGTTTTGCTATCTGTTTGCTCATTCAAAATAGAGTGAACTTTAGTGATTGTTGTACTTTAGTGAGTTAGTGTATGTGAATATATTTAGTTACCCCTTCTCAAGCTCTTGCTTTTACTGGCATGTGTTTGTCTTGGAAAAACCCAAGTTAGTTTTTATCTAGTAGTAGCTAACAAACATATTCCAGCAAATCAAATCTAAAGTGATAGGCCTATCTATCCTGAATAGAATATGACATGTGATTGTAATTCAATAGTCTTGTATTATTTAGTGAGGTTATTTTAATTGCAGTAATTTTAATTGTTGTTTTTGTGTTCGTTTATGCAGCTTAAAAGTGAATTTGACAAATTGTTTGATGATCTGAGAGAAGATGATAAAACTTGTGAAATGGAAGGAGCAGAGGTATTTCTTAAGCTAGAAACCATTTTATCTAAAAAATATGAATACTTAAACATCTAGATGTGTGTTTAGGTTTATCTGAACACAGGAGATGCTTGAATCAGAGAAAAAATTATAGATACAAAGGACTTTGTGAAAAATTCTTCCAAAAATGAAATGTCATATTTTATATGCAAATAGTGCATAACATATCCCTTTAATTTGCAGGCTGTTGGCACACTCTTGCTTCCCCATCAGAAGCAGGCTTTAGCTTGGATGGTTTCACGTGAGAACAGTAACGATTTGCCGCCATTTTGGGAAGAGAGAAGTAATTTCTATTACAATATACTTACAAATTTTGCAGAAAAGAAGCGCCCTGAAAATGTTCTTGGAGGAATACTGGCTGATGATATGGGACTGGTAATAATACTTAACAAGCTTGAATATATTTTTTACAGAACATGTGTGTGTGTTTCTTGATTGGTTAGTCATTTGGTTTGTTTTAATCTTGGAAAACTGGATGTTCTTTTCTGTTATGCAGGGTAAAACACTTACTACTATTGCATTGATTCTTACAAATTTTCAAGATGGCAAGCCTCTTCCTGTTGAAAAGATCACAAGTGACAAGTTTTATGAGGTGAGATGAAAGAAAAATATTGCTTTAGTAGAGTTATTATAGCAGTTAATAAAAACTGCTGTGCCTGGTAACTTTCAGCATGGTGAACTTGTATACATTTTGTAGAAAAAGCTTTTTGAGCACATCAGATAAGAGGAAGAATAGTGTTTGATTAGTTGAAGGTTAGTGGACAGTGTTACTTCAGAGTGTATAATTGAGCTGTAGACTGCATCATCTTAGGAGTGTATGCTCGAGTATACTCCAAGGAAGAATTTATGGAGCCATTAACATTTTCAGTGTGAAGTTTTTTTAATTCTTACGTTTGTTATAAATTTCTCCTGTATGCAAGTCATGGCTGCAGAAATACAAATGGTGTTTTTTTCTGGGGCTTTGCATGCATAGTTCCTGTGCAGTTTGGAGGAAGTCCTTGAAACAACCAAAATAGCACACAGAGGGTCTTGGTATAAAATACACATACAAATGTATATATTTTTTTATATGTATTTATTTATTTATTTTGTTTATGTTTTTGCCAAATACTTGACATCAAGAGAGGAGGGAAAACTACTGGTAGTTCACTAACATCAGATGTGCAAACCTTCCTCAGGTACGAGCTTGGTGTTTATAACATAAAAACTTTTGAAACTACAATGTTGAAATACTCTGGCTGTCTGTCAAAAAGGTAGATAGCTAGAATAATCCTCCTCTTTTTTTTGTTTGCTACATAGCCAAGTACTACTTCATTTTTACTCAAAATCTATGATTTAACATTAGTCTAAACTATGTTCCTGTTCTCTCAGAACCTTTCAGGGTGCTATACTTCTGCTTACATTTATCATGAATGTTCTGTATCTATTGCATTTTGGAATAGATTAAGAAGCATTAACTCATTCTGTGCAGCTTGTGTGACTGCATGCTTGTACATCTCTTGCAGTAGTAAAGGTGTCTAATAATATCAGTGTGTGGCATTTAAAAAACTGGTCGTAAAGTAATTTTTCTCCTAGTATCATTTGCGTTTTAAGTGGCTAAGAAATATTTTCTAGGCATGTTTCTGACAGAGACAGCTTTGAGCTGATGAAGTGGTGAAGCTCACTAATGTGTTTGACCCTTCCCACCACCGCAGCCTCTTCTTGCAATTGGTGTGAACTTTGGTGATAATCTGTACTTTTATGAGTCTCCTTCACCCTGCAGCCTTGTGTTCTGTGCTTTCCCTTTTTCTAACCCTTTAAAGAGAAAATTTTCAGATTAGTAATACCTTTTTTGAAATATGAAATTCATTTGCTTTATGCTCTTGTGGTTTAATATATAAATTAAAGCAGTAGTAGAGTTGTGGGGGATTTTTTTGTTTTGTTTTTGTTTCTTGATAATGATATCTTAGAGATAAAGCAAAGAAACCAAAGTGTTCAGGAAGTGGTGATTTGAAGTCTGAAGAATGGCTGCTGCAACAAACAGAAAGTAAGTTTCAAGGAAGTGTTGTTTGGTTTGTGTTGTTGTGGGTGTTTTGTTTTGTTTTTTTACTTTGTTACTGTAACACCTGGTGTCTTCCTTTCTGAAGCCAAACTCAAAAGGATTTCTAATTAACTGGAAAAGGAATTGACAACTACTTGGGTTTTGGTTTGGCTTTTTTTGTTTTAATTCAACCAAAAATTTAAGCAGAAAAATTTAGAAACTGCTGAATGGGAAGCAATGTTTTATCTCCAATACAATAATGGAGAGAAGTAATTTGCTTAGCAGGTTTGACTTAGGAAAATAAAAAATCATAAAAATAAATGCATGCATATGCTATTCGTGGTGTGAAAAATCTTTGTCTGGCTTTTTGCAGGAACTTCCTGTCTTACACAGGAAGACACAGAGTTTGCACCTTCATCTACTTGTTTAAAAAGAAAAACAAAAAGAAAAGGTAATGATGCAATGAACAGATAATACTAATTTCTGACCTTCTTTTGAAGCTGAAGTATTATATATATTTGACTTATCAGTGAAGCTTATGTCTTTGCAAATTGCTTTGATGCTGTTCATGTGAAGAAGTTTAGAAAGGACTTCAGAGAATGATAAGTTTCTTGAACTTCTAGTTTGCTTTGAAGTGAACTGTTATGCCACTAAATATGACTTTTGTTTTCTCAGGTACCATTAGTGTTCAGTCAGTTCAGACGAAAGATTCTAATGGTGGCCCCAGAGCAACACTGATTGTATGTCCACTGTCTGTACTAAGTAATTGGATTGTAAGTGCTAAGCTGTTTTAATGTGTAAATGTGCTCTGTGTTGATGATGTTGCTTTAGGAATAGTACTCCCTGTAATCTCTCATGCTAGTAAAAGGTCATGGTTTTCCTTTTTTATGAAACAGAACTGCGTTTCACTTAAAACTGGAGTAGTAGTTTGATGAGAACACAGTTCCACCAGTAGCAAGCTCATTGCTATCAGAAGGAGCGAGCTCATTTTCTATTCCCTGCTTTTGACTAAGTAGGTTCACTTTGACACTTCTGGAACTCATGTGATTTTAACTCCTTAAACCAGATGAGGAAGGTGGAGGAGACAGGTCCTTCTTGCGTGCTCAGAATGAAATATTACTGTATTTATTGATAATGCATTTGACATTTCATTTACTAGAGGTGTTCAGTAGCAGCAATCTTGTTGGTGATTTGTGGGAGAAGATTTGCTAAGGTGATCAGACTGAAGAGTCCTTCTGTCTCAGCATTAGTTAATTTTTTTTTGTTTGTTTTCATGATATTTTGAAGGCAAATACTAGGGGGATATCTTTTAAGTTTCAAGTTATGTTTTATTTGAAAGTTCTTGCTGTCTGGGGCCCGGACATTATGATTAAATTGCTTCCTTTTGTTATTAGACTGTAGGTATAATGTTAAATTCATATAATTGGGAAACATCAAAAAGCATAATAAATAATAAAAAAAAAAGCCAAACCGACACCACACCTCTTTTCATTGATTTAAAAAGTAATTTAAATATTGTGAGTCTAGTGCTTCAGAAATGAAGCTGTTGGTTTTTATTGGCTGTCCAGTTTACTCTATACTGAGTACTTCACAGAACAAACGTTGGGAATATAAACACTGGTTTAAAAATTAATACTCTGACAATTGTGCGATCATTTGTGTTAAAGCTTAGGTGGTGAACCCAGTAAGGGGAGGAGGCTGTAAATGAACAAAGAATAAGCAAGAAGATGGAGGTAGAAAGTGAAAAAGAACATAAAAGCTCTTCTGTTACAGTTTAGGAGGAACAGTGAATTTTGAAGTGCATATACCATCAGGATGTGAATTATACTTTGCAATACTCTGCAAGAGGATAGAGCTAGAGCTATCAGAATTTGATACTGTGTCTGTTACTGATGACTGAGGTGACTGCTTCAGTGGTCCTTTTTCACCTGGGTAGAGAGGTAAAAAGAAATCCAAATTCAAATTGCTTTTGTTACGTAAGTGGATGTAGAATGTCACAGAGCTAGACAAAGTGGCTTTTAGTTAAGGCAGCTTATAAGAATATTACTCTAAAAATCATGAAGTAACACAGTGTCTTTTGGATTACTTTTGACAACTTTTCTTTCAGGACCAGTTTGAAGAACATATCCACCAAGATTTTCATGTAAATATTTACGTTCATTATGGTTCTGACCGTAGCAAAGACCCATCAGTTCTTTCAGAACAAGACATTGTACTGACAACATACAACATCTTAGCTGCTGATTACGGAGTAAGTAAATGAGAAAGTATTCTGTGAAGATCCCATGCTGTTGAAGACTCCCAGTATGTGGGCTAATGATGGCAGTATATTCAAATGCTATTCTGGTAGGCAATCCAGAGGTTATAGCTGTAGTTTTGCTTTGCATACTTTCTTATGGGTTTGCTGTGGTAACAGAAGGCGTATTTTATTGATGGCTCTTGTAGAGATTATTTGGTTGCAATTATGATGGCTTAAGGAAGAGACTTTTTGGCAAGTATGTAAATCTCCCTAAATCTCAGTGCTACTGAGCTGCGATTTCTACTTTCCCCTATCAAATTCAAAGAATATTGAACATATAAAAAAATTACTCCATAGTTCTTGTTGCACGTGGACTGTAACCATCATGTGAGCTACTATTTGTGAAGTGTTACTTTCATAGAAAGTCCAGCCATTTCAAAAGCCTGAACATTACATCTTTAAATACAATATAAACTCTTAATTAGCAGTCTGATCATTTTCCATATCTCTGTGTCTTCGAAGATTTTCTTCTTTTTAGGCTTAGCTTACTTTTGCTGTAGCTCATTCTGCACACTCAAGTATGAGAAGACTGGTAGCATTTTCCAGGAATCATTACATCTGAAAGAAGAAACATGTTGTTCTTAATTTTGCTCTTCTGTGCTGATAAACAAGACGTGAATAAATACTATCCATTATTAATTGTTGGATTGTTGTTAATAGCTTACTTAATTCAAATTTCAAAGTAGTATTTTAATTTGAGTCAAAGACTAAAATACTTTGTTTCAGATCAGAAGTGACAGCCCTTTACACAAAGTCAAGTGGCTGAGAATTGTGTTGGATGAGGGGCACACTATACGAAATCCAAATGCTCAGCAAACTAAAGCTGCCTTAAATCTGGAGGGACACAGAAGATGGGTCCTGACAGGTAAAATGTTTGACACCAGAGGAAATACAGTGGACGTCATCTTAGCACAACACCATTTTGTATTTTCTACTTGGTATTTCTACTTTTGCTTTTTCTGGGAGATGGTTAATGTCTGTCTGCATCAGATTCATTGGAATGTTTATAAACTTGTCTTTGGTGATTTAGGTGCATCTTTTAGTTGTTGATTTTGTTTGCTTGGTTTTGTGGTTTGGTGGTGTTTTTGTTTAGTTTTTGCTTTTATGCAGACACAAATATTAAAATAACTTGATACACAGGTTTAGTGGAAGGGCAAGTAAAAAGGGACCTGTTTATGAACTGGCATGTTACCTCTAGCTAGAAATTCACACTTTTATTGTATTTATTCATATCTCAGTTGGTTTTTTGAAATGGAATAGGCATCTTACAAACTGCCAGGGACCGTGTAAGTATATGATCCCTGAATGGTAATTTAAAGATGGTAATGGTAACCAACATTACCATTATCTGCTGATAAATGGAAAGATTAACATCTGAGCCCTCAGTCAGCACTAAGAGCAGCAGTTTTCTCACTCTTCTGTATTTGTTTTGTGGTATTTTAATTTAAAAATTAACATGAGTTATACTTAATGACATATCAACCTAGTTACGTGACGCCTTGTATGTGGTGCGTGGGTTAGAGAAAGCACAGAACTTTCACTTTGAAAAAGTTGCATTTTACAGTTTCATTGAGATTTTGCAATCTTTATTTTTTTTTTTTTTTTATTTTCTGTTTAGGCACTCCTATTCAGAATTCTGTAAAGGATTTATGGGCTCTTATTTCCTTCTTAAAACTGAAACCTTTTACTGATCGAGACTGGTGGCATAGAACGATTCAACGTCCAGTCACAATGGGAGCTCCAGGAGGACTTGGGTATGAAGGGTTTGTGAACGTGTATGACTGGCCATGTGACAAATGATTGTTTCACATTTGAAATTGAAATACATCTGTGATCAGGTCTTATGCCAATTTTTTTTGTTCAAATTAATAAATTTTATTCAAATTATTGAATATAATTCATTAATCTGCAATGTTCTGTTGAAGGTCAGTGCTTGTCTTGGGTTTTTTAGAGAATACGTATTTATGCAGTAAGCTGAAAAAAAAAAGAGAAAACAAACCAACCCCAGCTGGTTAATATGTTGTCTATATATGTATTTTTAGGCGTTTACAGTCTCTGATTAGGAGTATTACCCTTAGAAGAACTAAAACAAGTAAATTTAAAGGAAAACCCATTTTGGAGTTACCAGAACGTAAGGTACTTATTCAGTATGTTACGCTTACAGAGGAAGAAAGGCAAATCTATCAGTCTGTGAAGAAGGAGGGCAAAGCTGCTATTAGCAGGTAAGTAGAAGACTTTCTTCATCCTGAAGGTTGAAGCTTGATATCACAAACTTGTGTTTTGGAAATTTTGATAGCTCTAGTAGCTGTGTGTGTCAGTTTGTATGCTGTAAACTAATAATTGCAAATTAGCATAACATCAGTTCTCAAAAGTGAAGTAGAGACTATTGCAGAGCTATGTGTTAGAAGTTCTGTCTTGTGAGAAAGGGATATAAGGTATTTGAAGAATGGCCTTAATTTTTGTCACCATGTGCTAGCATTTCTATTAGAACATGCTACTGATAGCATTTTGTAACATATATCAGAAGAGGATTTGAGAAAAATATATTAAAGCAGAAAAAGGTAAAATCAAAACACAATCCTAACAGCTAAACATGATTACTTGATGTCATCTGTTACTTGAGGCTGTAGTGCTTCACACTAATCATGAAACTCTTGTTCAGATTTTTCAGTGAAGGGACTGTACTAGCTCACTATGCTGACATCCTCTGTGTCCTGCTCAGATTGAGGCAGCTTTGTTGTCATCCTCATCTTTGTCAAAATGCATCTTCTAGTTTTTCAGCTGGTGAGTGAATGTTTTTAGTTCCTGTGTTCCTAAAAGCAGGAGCTGCACTTTGTATTCAAGAATGGAAACATGTGTGTGTGTGATTTCCAAACTTTCTAGCTTCAGCCTTCTTCTCTTCAGCTTGTTTATTAGCTTTTATCTACTTTTACCTTTGTTACCATTGATTTTTTTTTGTACTGTAATATATTTGAACATGTTTGAGAAGTGGGTACTCAAGCACATAGTCAAATATGAATGAATGCAATGAAGTATGAGTAGTTACAAAGGCTAGAAGCAGGACTTAATAAGCTTTGACAGCCCATACAGAAGTGAGAAGAGGACCTCTGCAGAGCCAAATGCAGAAGGCTTGCTAAAAAGCAGTGTATTTGTTGTTGTAGTAATTTTATAGAAGTGCTTTTACAGCAAATTTTTTTTTTAATTTGCCTCAGGAGAGAAGATGTAGAGGAGCTTTGGGGGGTGGTTTGTAGATTGATAGCTGTGTCAGCAGAACCATTGTCTCTTCAGCAGAATAGGAAACTGTTGACTTTGTTACAGCTGTAAGGAAGGGTGAACACAGAGGACTGAAAGGAGATTTATTTGTGTTTTTTTTTACAAACCAGAACTGTGCAGCTGCATAGTGTTAAAAATTATACACATTTCTGTTAGAAGAAAGTACAGCCTGTTTAAAATACTTTGAGAATTCTCAATGGTAGTACTTTGAAAAATCCTGTTTTGAGGTGCCGTTGGGATAGATGTGATTTTTTTCAGGAAACAAAGACCCATGTGATATGGTCAAAACCTTTTTTAGAAGGTTGTCATTTATCTTCATGAAAAATACAGGCTAGAGGAATTTATATACCTGTGAAATAATTCTTTAGAAATTAATTAGTAACTAGTAAGTATGATTTTAATTTTGTACTTAAAAAAAATAATAACTATAAATAATATCTTCATAGATACCACTACTTGAACAGCTGCCATATTGAAAATTGCTAGTTCTCATTAGGCACTGAGTCACACGTGTCCTTGATCACTGAGTGTGCAGTCGAGGTTCTTCCAATTCCAAATACCATTTTTCCAAATAAGATTACTCTTACTTGATATAGTAGGTCACAATTACTCTTTGAAATAGTAGGTTGGAATGGTTGGAATTTTCTGTAGTACTTGGCAGCTTGTGTTATTATGAAATGTGGCCTATATCCTCATTGTGTTTAAACTGTCCTAATTGCATTTTCATCCATGAAACTGTGTTGATGTGTGCCAGCTCAGAGCATTTCCTGTGTGGAATTCTTTTTAAAGTATCTTCCTATATTTGTAGGTAATAAAACTACTGAAGAACTACATGAGACATTAGTGAGTAAAATGAGGTTGATTCTGAGTTCTGGTTCAGATGAAGAATGTGCAGTTTGCTTGGAATCACTGACTCTTCCCATGATAACACGCTGTGCACATGTGTTTTGTAAGCCATGTATTTTTGAAGTCATCAGAAGTGAACAGGTTGGTTCAATTAATGGTACTAGCTATTCAAAAGCAATGAGCTGGTATTGCTAGAAGGCCATCTGGCTTTTGGTCTTTTAAATCATAAGTGGTGAACAGTATAAACCTAGTTATCAGCTGGGTTATATAAACTATTGGCCTGAAGTCAAAGTCTTTTTCTCTAGTGCTCACGTTACTTTGTCCCTAGGGTAAAAGTGATGGCATCCAGTGCAGCATTGTGCACCTCCATAGGGCTGCATGCCACTTCACTGCATGTGTATGTCGAGACCATAGCTATGTATTGGAAGCTAGCTGTTGAACTAAAGACATGTCTATTCTCCTTTTTCCAAGACGATGACCTTGTACAGTGACCTAACTGCCTTGCTAGAGCACCATCTGTATGGACCTTCTCTAGACTTTCCAGAACAACCATGTAGATGAGTGAGCTTTGATTGCTGTTCTTTGAAAAACGGTGGTGTTTTTTTTTTTTTTTTTTTCTCTTGTGTGCTTCTAAGCTATACTACTTGCCTAGAAAGGACCTTGGAATTTGCAGAACTAGGGCCTTTGTCCAATCCCACATTGTTCCATAAGTTGCTTTTATAGTAGTGAAGTCTGAATGGAGGTGGGTGTAGATTCTGCTCTTCTGAAGTTGAACTATCCTGAGTTTATAAAGCAGTGAGTGAGAAAGCCTTTCTTACCTTCAAAATGGCTCCTGATTTAAATGAATTCCCAAGGAAATGTTTGCAGCCCCCAACCCAAACATTGACAGACATCCAAACTCCTGAGTCGGGGAATTCAGTGTTTCCACGTGACAGGTATTTGTTCTGGTGCCCAAATGGTTACAATTCAAGTATCCCTAGTAAAGGGCTGAGTAAAGTACTTAGCTACTACCTTAAAAACAAGGCAGGTCAACAAGCACATATGCACACGCACACACAAAGCAGCTTGTATTCAGACAGGGTTCTTCCAGGCGAGATCCCTGTGGTTTCGTTATTAATACAAATGAGAGCATTAAGCTGTCAGTGAGGAAAGGGTTGTGAAGCTGCCAACACACAACTGCTGAGTGAAAAGTTTTGCCTTTCATTGTGTTACAAACCTGGAGACCATTTAATTTTTCTAATGGTAACCAAAAAGTGTTTATTGAAATTGGAAGAACTTCTTAGTAGTCAACAGCTTGAGAGTTGACAGCTTCTTTTTGTCAGTCTGTTGTATAAGTAAGTAAGTAAAGATACTATGCAGAAGCTATAAAATCCGTACGGTAATTTAATGTCTTTGTGTTATTAATGGCATACCAGGTAGGCATTTTTTCTTCTAGTTGTTGGTTGTGAGACACTTTAATATGCTTTCACTTTAATGCTTTCACTGCAAATCTTTGGTATCTGTGTTGGCGTTGTCCAGCTGGGTTTCGGGATATCTGTTGTTTTTAATTACTAAATTGGAGAATGGATACAGAAAGATGTAAGGTTTTTTTTGTTTGTTTTTTTTTTTTTTTTTAAAGACTTTATAAGCACTGTTTTTCCCCTGAGAACTTTTTCAGATTTCTTAGAATTTATTTTTTGTGACTGGAAGATTTTTGGATTGTTGCCAAAACAGGCATAATTAGTTAATAAGTATGTTTTGGAGATTTATTTCAGATCAGCGTTAAGACTGTTTCTTGAAAGGATATCTTTATTGCTTCAATAGATAGATTTATGCAGATGATGACTGCCAGACCCTTTAATTGGCTAGAAGTTCATTCCAGATTAGCAGCCCCTAGTATTCATCTGCTTTTTGAGGTCTGCTTTGCAGCCTGTCTAAAAGATGCCTTGAGTCTGTGGCTACCTTGCTATATAAAGTGAGTTAGTTAATTTGAAAGGGTTGCTCCATTAGGCAAAAGCTTTTCGTGTCTTTTGTTTTTGCTTCACAAAGTTGTGTATTTGAGTAGTGCACACAGTCTTAGATTTTGTGAGTAGTCTTACGGAAGTGCTATTCCATAAATTCTAAACTTTGCCTTGTCTGGAGCATGCTTCAGAGGAAAAAAATCTGTTGGTGTTAAATTATGTCTCGTTTCTCATGTCTGTTAGGGGAAAAGAGAAGATACACTGTCTGGCCCTGACAAAGCATATTTCATCAGACTGCTATTATTTCTGTGCAGGCTTTGAAGGAAGAGGGTAAAAGGTCATTCTTTGTAACTAAAAAATATCTTGGCTTTGAAAGATGGTTTATTTTTCTGGTATTTTAAATAGTCTTTCCCTTATGTCCTAAATATTTGCTCGCTTTTAAATCTTGAGCTCTTTATTTCAAGTGTGCTCAGAAAGAAGAGTACTTTTAAGGAGGGCTGGGTGGTTTTAAACCATGTAGCAGTTATGTCGGCTTAATGTTCTCACAAATAAAATATTTTGATTGTTATGTCAGAAATTACAAAGCAATGTGTTAAAAGTTTGAATGTACTCCTTGGAGATTTTCTTTTTGTATGAACACCAATACAGTAATTTTGTAAGAAGTGCTTCATAAAGGTGATCTTTAGTACTTACTATAAACAATTTGATTGAATGTGTCTTCTAATGTTACTTGGGCTTTTTTGTAGCCAAATGCCAAATGCCCTCTCTGTAGGAATGAGCTTCAACCAGAGCACTTGGTGGAATGTCGCCTGGAAGAGGAAATAGACTCCAGTAATGGAAAGAGGTCTGATCAGACCTGGATATCCAGTTCTAAGGTACATTCCATTGTGTTCTACTTGGCTTTCATTATGGTTTTGTAAAGCATATTCTAGAATTTTTATGTAAATGTGCTGAACATACTCTACATATGCATAACATAATTTAAAGTCTGTACAATGTGTCTAGCCAGCACAGGAGAAAAATAAAATCTCATCACAAAGAAATTTTGCAGCAGGGAAACAAGACAAAAGGAGCACCAGCTGTAATTTGGTGCTGGTCATTGACCAGTATATTATTTGTGCAGTGTATTAGTTAAATCTTTTGGTAAAGGACCCTGTTGCTTTGCATTTTGTTTGTTTCTGAAAATAAAGAAACTATTCAGATATTAATTTACTTTTGGAAACCAAAAATCTAACTCCTTTCCTAAAACTTGTCTAAAGAATATATGCTCTGCTTTAAAGGGGAAAACTAAATAAGCATCATACGTTCAATGTAATGCTTGTCAGATGAACTACTAGGATATTTTTATTTTACTTTGCAGACCTGTTTCCCAGGGTCTGCCACATAGTTTTTTCCTCGCCTTCATTATGGATTTGCTGCTGGAAAATAAATGTTCCTCCCTGTGCTTCAAGCCTTTGTTTTGAGATTACTTTTCTTAAACACTATGTTTTTAATTTTAGTTTGTAATAAAGTTGTTGTTTTTTCAAAAGTTGGTTGTAAATTTGTTGCCTAAAAATCTCTGTATAGCGACCTAAGAAGTAATTTAGGACACTGTGCTCTAGAATAAATTGAGGTTTTTTGGTTGTGGGGTTTTAAATTTTGGTGATAATGGTGGTAGGTGGTTTGTTGTGGTGTGGTGTTTTTTTTTTTTTTTTTTTTTTTTGGGGGGGGTTTTTTGTTTTTTTGGTTTTTTTTTTTGGTTTTTTTGTTTTTTTTTTTTTTATGGTGGGGGTTTGTTGGGGGGTGGGTGTGGGTTTGTGGTTTTTTTTTTTTGGTTTTTTTTTTTTTGGTTTTTTTTTTGTTTTTGTTTTTTTTTTTGGTTTTTTTGTTTTGTTTTGTTTTTTTTTCCCCCTCTTTTACCTGGTTCAGTTGCTTCCTTTCCGTAGTCAGTGGTGCTTTACCTCGTCATAGCTAAATCTTACCTGAGAAAATGGGCAACGTTCTTCTGCCTTGCATCCAATCCCTTGCTCCTTTTGTTCTCATGTTGGTCCCAAGAGTGCTTTTAGTACCTCCTTACCCTCTGTTATACCTAGCCAAGGGTCTTGCATAGCTTATTTGCCTGAATATTCTGTGGGGAACCTTTCTCACTTCTGCTGTATTGCTACTGTAGAGCATTTGGCTCGTGGTTGTCCCTTGCCTTAAGCCTTACTTTTCCAAGTTCCAGTACTCTGCCCCTTTTTTCCATATGCCCTGGAGGCAGGGGACACAGTGACTTCTAACAGTGGGAAGTATGTCTGGGAAACAGTTTGATAGTACTTCAGGGAACAGGATTAAAAATCACCTCGTAGTTTGTGATCATTAAAAGTATCCAATCCTTAGTTTACTCTCCATAGAATTTAGGATTAGTTCTTAAAGGGTATTACTGAACAGTGATTTCTTAATTGATGTTGACTTTATCAAAGCACTGGTAGGAGCGCTGCATAAGTCTTCATTTGATTTCAGGTAAATGCTCTCATGCATGCTTTGATAGAACTACGGAGGGATAATCCAACTGCTAAATGTCTGGTTGTTTCTCAGTTCACAACTTTCCTGTCACTGATAGAAAATCCCTTGAGGTAAGTAGAACTTCAGTTATTTTCAGTAAACTGATTTGAAAAGTTCTGCTTTTTAGAGCTTCAGAAGAGGAATAAATTACTTCAGTACTTTGTTTAGTGAAATAAACCCATGAATCTCATTCTTGTTTTATTATATTTTTAATGTGTCAACTGTTAGATGAAGAATTTTAAATATAGATTTCAAAGCAGAGATCATAATTTATCTCCTGTTGTCACAAAGAGTGGATTGTTAAATTGAACATCTTTATTTTCTTTTCAGAGAATCTGGATTTGCCTTTGCTCGTTTGGATGGGTCAATGACACAGAAGAGAAGAGTAAAAGCAATTCAGTGTTTCCAAAGCCGCCAAGCAGGATCCCCAACTGTAATGCTTTTGTCTCTGAAAGCAGGTGGAGTTGGATTAAATCTGACAGCAGCTTCCCGAGTTTTTTTAATGGATCCTGTGAGTAATGGGTTGTTCATAATGATCTGGCTTAATCTAGGTGAAGCTCCTTTAGTATAACAGGTAGAAGGAAGGGCCCTCTGAGAATGAGCAACATGGATGAGTATCTGTTAAAGGGCAAACAGGGCCTTTCCTATTTCCCTGGCATGTTTTTGTTTTAACACAGCAGTTTTTCTGCTGTCCACTTATTTGCTGTGAATGGACAGTATGCTAAGAGTACTGTTGACAAAGTGGTGTGGCACCTTAGAGTGTAGCTTTTTTGTTTTCTTTTTTTCTCATACTTCCGAATGTGGTTTTCTATTTGTTCTGTTTAATAACTTAAAAACCTATATAATGGAATTTCAGGAACAGTATATTTTTTTTTTTCCTGTGTCATAATGCAGTGTTTCTTTGCTCTAGCCTCGTCTGGTTTTTTTGTGAATTTATTTATAAATAAAGACATTAGTCTGAGGTTACTTTCTGTGGTTGCAGGAGACTGAGAAAGATTGTGGTATTTAATTTAGGAAGTTTTTCCTTTTATTAAAGCACTCAGGAAGGCAAAATTATTTGTAAGGATTAAAAAGGTGAATTCCATGTTTTGATAGCAAAACGGTTTTCTTAACAGAATTAGTTCATGTCTTGTGTCATACAAAATCAAAGTGCTTCTGTTTCCTTCCTCCCTTCCCCACTATTTACTCCTCTGCTCTGATGTGCTAGTTTTTTGGCAGTTGGAAATAGACAAAATCTGCAGTTTGTGCACTTGAAAGCAAAACCTAAGTAAATGAAAAATAATAGTGTAGTTTTGGTCTTGGGCATCTGGTAACACCAACAGTAAAGAAGTAGTACTAGCATAGATATCAGGTTAGTGATAATAAGAGCATGAAGACAAAAGCTATGTACTTAATAAACTAAAGGAATTAAATATGAGTGAGAGAGTGGAGAAATTGCTTTGCAAAAAAGGTTTTCCATGAATTGCGATACATCTTCATACAGTCCTCCATAATATCCTCCTAAGCAAGCTCAGGAAATATAAGATAGAAGAACAGGCAGCAAGGTGGGTCGAGAACTGGCTGCACAAT